TGTAATGACAGTGGGGACTGTCCCGACCCCAGTGCAGATCTCCTGTGCTCAGAATTTTCTTTCTGTTCATGTTTCTGTTCTGCTCGGTGCACCAGGTCCAAAGTTGACTTATGAACTCTAACCAATGCAGAATGAACTCTTGCATCCCAGCGTCCAAGTGCGATGGCTTCTTACGGAAGCAGAATGTGAGAACTATTTCCTCCCATTCAAAATAAACCTGTTGCAGACAGAATAGCATTTTAAGGACTGCTCGTCTCTCAGGCACCTTAGGAACCCTGCGTTCAATTCCAGCACAGCGTCAGTTTATTTCTTCAGTAAAGCTTCAGATTTGATCCATTCCTTGTGGCCATTCCTGACGACTTGCAAAAAGACCTTATTCCACCTCAGCAGTAGCTTCTGTTAGCAGCAAGAATGAAAATAATGTAGGTTCTTCTTCAGCTATGCAGAAGCAACACATCAGAGATAAGTATAAGCCTGCTTCACAGCTAAAAATGTCAGGTGTTTAGGTGAGAAGCTGGAGTTCAATCTCATGCAATGCTAAGTATCTTCAGTTTATACGGCTCAAGGGACCACCCTCACACTGTATCACTGAACATCCAGTGATAAGTAATCCTTTAGAAATTGGAGAGCAGAATAAATATGAGCAGTGCTTGCAGACACATTAGGAAAAGGTTGCAAAAGTTGTTCTTTCTGATGCAACTTTTGTGTTCTTCCAGTTGTGACTTTTAAAGTACCTTGATCTTCAATAAGCTGTCAAATTACAGTGGAAAGGACCTGATCCCTTCCCAGAGAGAGTTGTTTCCTGTGATAAATGTAACTGTAGCACCAAGATCACGCTATTTACGTATATTTGCCACGTCTTGATTCAAAAACTATTAGTTTCAAAATTATCAGATAAGGCCATTTTCTGGCTATGCTGCACTTGAGTCAAGTTTGCTAATTTATTGCCAAATCAGACATTTTCAGTAAATGTATACTGTGAGTTGGTATCAGATGCATCTACACATAAAAAAAACATTCGACAGAAAAGTTGGTGCAGAGAAAATAAAAATGAAAATCAATTCTAACCCTAAAATCTACATGAAGAACTTTTCTTCTCAGTAAAGCTTTGAAGGAACCGATCGGAATACAGCTTATAACGGCAACACTAACTATTCTGTCAAAGCAGCAATATCCAGAACAGGAATTCTGTCTTTGCTAACCATGCCACAACTATAATCACAAACACACACACCACCAGGACTAGCCATAGGACAGCACTAGTGGGAGGAGGAATTGGACAGGGCAGAAAAGCATCTGGGTAAAATCCTAGGGCAGCTAGTGCTCACCATGACATTTACACTTAATCTGAGTCATTCATATCGTAATCCGTTTCTTCATCCTCACTCTGAGTGGCATGCAGCATGCAGCAAGTACGGAGAAAACAAGGGAAAAGAAGAGATTGCAAGTGAGTCAGAGCTGCAACAAAGTACAGTCCACTTACACTTGAAGCATCCTGGAATGACATTTATCTACTTTTCTCTGGGATCCCCGCTCTTTGTAAGAAAGTACGACAGCAGACAATTAAGAATGAACATTACAGGTTTAATGAGAATTTCCTTTTCCAAACGTCCTAAAGTCAGCAGGTGGAAGCCAATAGTGCCATGCAACATAGTGACCATAAGTATAGAGAAAATTTAAATAAAACAGTGAAGCTGGTACCTTAACTCCATGTACTCTGTCACGGATGGGAAAGGATAGTACTTGAGAATCTAACTTTGGATGCAGACATTATGAACAAGCTTTGGTCATTTGTCCCAAGAGTGACAGGTCAGTAAGGTGGTATGACAGAGAAGAATGCTCCCGGGAATATAGGTTATCTTTCAGTAAAAGCCATTGGAACCACCTAAGTCAATGTGCCAAATGCTGTTAATTTCCTTCACTTACATGTCGTAGAAGGTTACATGGAAGTCAACTACTAACTTACTACGCAAACTGTTTTCCAAAAAAAGAAAACACACTAGAAAAAAAGTCTCTGAGAAGGAATGAAGGTGAAGATTGATTAGATGGGCTATCAGAAAATGCTTTTTCCTATTCTGAAAGTCCAGTAGTATTAATTAAAATTTAAGTGCTTGTTAATAAAAATTACATACCGGCAGGTTTTTGTTTTCCCTAACCCAACCTGCTGCAAAAGTAACAGGAAGACTTGCCCATGGCTTCTAAAAGTCAGTCCTGGTACATGAAGACTTTATTCTGTATATATCACTGGATACCAGAATTTCAATCATACGAACATCAGGAAGATCAACTCAGACACTAATGAACAGATTGCAGACTAGAGGATTAGCACTGGCTAAGAGGGAACTACTGAGACAACAGCTCCCAAGGTCCAGTCAAGATTTCTGAACACACCTGTCAGAAACCTCTCAACCAAAAAGATTTTTTTTTTTACAGGCACAACATATAGTTATATATATAAAAAAATTGATCTATTATAAACACAATATATAAAAAATGATCCTTCAAGTATTGTCATTAATTGCTAGCAACAGCTCAACCCTTCCCGGACAGAAGGAGTGAATGTTGTTTATATCTCCAACCAAAATTAACAGCAATTCTTAATTCATCACCCTGGTCAAATTATGCCCTGCTCTCTTCTCTGAAACAATGACCAAGCAGCACTTCAGTCAAGAGGTCTAAGATTTAGCTTTTCTCAAAGCTACTGAATTTACAGAGCTGTACTGCACTCTGAACTGGCTTTTGTATTTAGAGCTTAATAGTTTCATTTGATCTGTATTTTCTTTTACATTAAGGATGCAACGTAACTCTGGCAACTTCTGAAGCGCCTAAAGATGTACTGCCATTCCTTATGAAGATGTTTATTAGGTTCTAGAATTCCACATTTTATTTCAGGTACATATCTCAGCCCTAAATTACTACCACACACCTCTTTAACTTCTCAACTTTTAAAGTTTTCCTGAAGCATCCTGGCAAAAGCAGACCTTGACAAGGGCTCTGGGAAGAGCAAGCTGTGGCTTACTCTGGTTCGCTGTTTACCCTCGACTACATTAATCCCTTACGTCTCTTTGGAACTTTTATCTCAACAGTGAGAAAAGAACATACACTAATAATTTCACTAAGAATCCAACATAAAGCTTGGAGTATTTTTGTAGTGCAGTTTACAAAAATGTGTCTATGTGTAGCTGCATAACCAAGTCACAAGGCACAGAAAGCAGTGAAGTATCATCTATTTGAGGCCTCAGTGCCAAGACCCAGATCAATTCCTGGCATTATTTCAAAACTAATTTCTTTGAAGGTGATTCTTGAAAAACCAACGTTTGATGTTTTACCAATTATTTTGCATCTACATATACTAAATTAAAAGCTTTTAAGCCAACTATCCAGTTTGTCTGTAGTCACCTCCTCACACAAAGCAATAATACAATGATAAAGCTGTTTGATATTCATGGAAACGAAGAATACGCTGACGTACATAACTTGTCCGCCTCATTACTCTTCAGTTGTGTTTTTACATTTTTCCTTGTACAAACTCTTGAAAGAGAACTGAACAACATGCTAAGATACTGTGCCTGTTACAATCTTTTCATAAAGCTGGTTACAGAAAGTAGAGACCTAGGTAGAAACTTGAAAGTATGAAGCTAACAAATCCCTTCGTTTTATAACGTCTTGCACATGACTATGTTTTCCAGAGACTGCCTATTACCATCTCCATTCCTGACAGTAAGATTTCTTCAGCTGAACTCAAGCAACAAAAACAGTTTTCAGCTGAACCAGCGGCAGAATAAGGAAGCATTCAAATGTTAAGAAACAAAACCTAGAGTCTCAACGGTAAACAGCAAATATCTGCCAATACCTGAAAAAACAGGACGGGTATCAGGAACAGCAGAGAGCATTGCATTTCAAGAACTCATTTGGTGTAACAAATGCATGCAGACTGTACTGTTTGTGGTCTCTCATACAATGGATAGGGAACCATTATCAGTCATGAGTGAGGGGCAAAAAGGCAATTAATCATGGTCCAGACCAGAGGCAGGCCTAGCACAACCTAGTGAAGCCCTCACAATTTGACACCACTTCTTTAGTCCAATGTCTAGTAACTTACCTTTGCTTTTTCACTGGGTTCACTGGTTGTGCCATATGGAGTGTTATGCAATTCCTTTGAGACAACACACAGAAATTCAGCCTGATCTTCATTGCCATAGTTATAGGAAGAACCAATACTGACCAGCTGGAAGATTTAAAAAAAAAAAAAGTCAGTTCCATTTCCACATAAAACAAATTCCATAAATTCTCATCATTAGTACAAACACTCTTCACTCTTCTGACTGTTGGCTGTGCCTGAAGCATGATTCTCCACTTCAATGCAAATATGTTTTGACGTTGACTAATACACCAACACTCCAATGACAAGATAAACATAGCTTTTCTTTTTAAACATTTACAGAATTAATGATTATACCGTGAAAGAAAAGGCTACAGAGGCAGGCCAGTGGAGAAGTAGCCTGTTCCCAGTTTCTGTTACTTACTGGAAACCTTCCCATCCTCCAGACTTAGTTTTTAAAAAGTTTGTGTGTGGTATCTTAACGTGGCACAATTTAACATGTGAACGGCTGCATGCAGGAAGCACTTGAGCCTGAAGAGATACCCACCGCTTTACTTACAGAGTAACTGTACTTCTATTGAAACACATTTTGAGTGGATAAAGACAAAATTTGCATCTGATTGGAAAACGGCAAGACACAGCACGGTGGGACACCAAGATTAACATCTGAAATTCATATGCACTGCTACAAGGAAGGTAATTAACGAAGCGCTACAAGCGGAAGCCACGTATAATGAAATGTGATGTAGTTACAAGCTTCTACAAGTCTCGATAGTGAATGGTAAATGACAACTTACTGAGAAAGAAGGATAGACACAACATCAGTACTACCTCGTATGCAGCATGTTTATCAAATGTCAGAAATGCCACATAACTTGCCTCACCTTACACACAGTACACTTACCTAATGCTAGAAGCTTTATATAGCCTGCCCTTCCAAGCCAGAATCATTTCAGACATAGTTGGTTCATTCATTTTAAAGGTTTATTTCAAAAGCATGACGAGATAATGTGTGGTGCTATTGCTACTGTCACAGATCAAAGTCCTAAACATCAGCCTGTTGCACTGTATCTAAATGCTACTAAAGCAACATTAAATCTACCCACCAAACCACCAGGCACGCGCGATAAGGCTGTCCTGTTCCCCAGTCTCCATTACATCACCACAGTGCCCTGGCAATAGCCCCATGGAAAAGCCTTGACTTGCTTTTTTAGGGCAACAGCACTTGAAACACGGCAGTTATCTGTCTGAAAATAAACCACGTGCTGCCATGAGTGTCGCAGAGCCCCAAAGAGAGGAAAAGCCTTGTTAAAGCAGAGAAGATGCAGCCAAGATGAAATCTTCATACGGAACCTGTACTTGAGGGATAAGTTTATTCCCCCAACAGAAGTGGAAGGCAGACCCAGGTTTACAGCAGCTTCCATACAGCCCTGTCAGGAGAAAATAAAGCCTCATTGTACTTGTAAGGAGAGAGAGGAGAGATGCTCGGGCGCTCCAGTGCTGTGGTGAGACAGCCCAGCCAGACTCCTGGAGAGTGACAGAGCCAACGTCCAACAGCGCAGCAGCCAGTGCGTCCGCACCACCAACCGACCAAACGGAGCGTTTGGGCCCTGACGTCATCCCAGCACACGAGACTCAGCCTGCAACGAGCAGTGCTGGCCGTCACCATCCAGCACTCTCGCACCGCCCGCTCCAGCTGTGCTGTCCGGCTGCCATCACCAGAAACCTTCCCTCCCTCCTCCGCTCCTAGCGTTACTCTAGTTCTGCAAAATACACCATCAGTGACAAACAGGCTGAACAAAAATGAATGGGATAAAGACCTTTTTTCCACCAAAACCATGTAATGAAGTTACAAAACTCCAGGTTTTTCAGAAGCATCAACACATCCCCACTGGAGTACAAAGGCACCATTTATCGAGACGTTAAGTCAGCTAATCTTTCACAATGGACACTCTGCAGTCTGCACCATAACATACTTGTGTAATATGGAATCACAAAACCCATGAAGTAACTAGTTGCTTTCTTGCACAAAATGGGCTAAGAAAGTCCACTACAGAGCTGGGAAAACAACTCAGACTTACTTCATATATAGAGATGATTTGTTGATAGCTACTGACATCCCCCACTAATGCTTCATAATCCAAATAAATTGACCTTCTGCACACAAGTCTTTTTAGGAGACGTGGCAAACTGGCTACTTATCAGCTGGCTGGATAAGACTATTGGTTTAGCATTTTGCCATTATTAATCAGCTGGTGTGTTTCAAGATAAAGCCAATTCTGCAACATTAAGCACAAGTTCTTCAAAACTCCAACACGATACTCCTGTAAGCAGTTCCATATGTGTGCAACCAAGAATATATTGTTTGCACAGTATCAACAGCATGCTAGAAACTTCACTGCAGCTTTTTTGAGATGCATCAGCAGCAATAAGGGTGATGGCAGAAAAACAAACAATGGAAAACGATTGCAGATTAGAACTGAACTGTTGTGTCAGAAAGCACGACCAGAAATAAAGCAATATTTTAGCACTTTTTTCCAAAAGTCACCCCATTGTTCCCAGTGTTGGTGGCAACACTTTAAGAAGGATGCTGATAAACTGGAAGGAACTGTTAAACTCCTCCACCCCATATAACTCCATCGCCTCCCACCAAAAAAAAAAGAAAGACCCAAACCAAAACTCACATCAAATCAGAGTAATCTGAGGTCTGCAAAGCATGCATTACAGTGCATAGGAAAAGGATTTCAGATTATTCAGCCTACTGTTTCTCAGGCTTTCAGAAAGGACAAACTTTTTTTGGCTCATGGGGCTTAAACAGTAGAGAGAGATTTAAAGACCAAGAACTTAAAGAAGGAAAAAAATAACATTTTGAAACTCTGCATGTCATAGATTTGAATTATTATATATACATACATATACATGCATGTATGTATTTTTCCTCATTGCTTCCTCCCCCCCATGACTTGTTTCACTACACTCCTTACTAAAGCAGCGTGATCCTGCTTGAGCGTTCCTGTGAGCCTCAACAATGTCATAACTGAGCATAGGAAAATCCCAATGTTACTTATCACAGAAAATTAATTAGATCACTGTTTGCATGGAATAAGGGTGCTGACACTAGTAGGCTGTCAGCTGTAACTAAAAAAGGCAGGAATGGAAAGCATTATCATTATTAGTCAACGGAAATATAGTTGATTTCCATTATATTGCTTGATGTGCCAATGCAGGTCAGGATTTTCCTGAAAAGACAAAGAAATAACAACTGGGAAGTTCCTGTCTCATAAAGCCTGAACTTTCAAGTAAGAGAAAAAATTACAATCAGAAAGGGCAAAGCTAAAAAAAAAAAAACACATAGTTTGACATAAGTGAAGGTTGACAGAGACTACCTGATGCCTCAGTATGGTCAGGCTTGTTATCAAAGAGGAAAGATTTAAGAACGATTTCAGGGACAATACTGAAGTAACCTCTGAAGAGCTTTTCCTAAGTCTGTAGCTCTGTGAGAGGATACCTGTCTTTCAAAAAAGACTAAGAAAAACAGATTATAAAAGTGGTATAGCTGAGAGAACAGGTCGAATGATTCCTGCATCAAATTACTCAACAGCAGCAAAACATATTAATCTCTTCCTGTCTTAGATCAATGACTGTACATCTAAAAATATCCCGATGAATAGGCAAAATGGTTGGTGCATCACTTATAGGAACCTTATTTTTGAGGTGAACAAATCTCATGCCTAACTGAATTGAGACAGATCTCAAAGCCAGCCACACTTCAATAACTTGGCCATACAGATTTGCTATACTGGTTTAACAGTATTGATTCAGAATCTACGCAGTACATTTACAGGCCAAATTAGCAATAGTATTACCATCCCAGATAACCACTTGGAGTTGCACAGACAGCATCCCTGTCTTTCTCTGCTTCCCACTGGAGTTACTCATATTAACTAGCTCTTCTACTTCATGACTACCCATTTCCTTCTCTTTCTGAAAAAAAGAAAACAGTAAATTTCATAACAATTATTCTCCAATTCTATTTTAAATGTTCTTATACTTTGAATATTACTGCTTCTATTTCAGATACGGTGAACTCCTTGTAAACTAGAAAGCTTGTATTTTTCTTTTTTTTAATGATAAATACTAGCATTTGATAGAATAAAGTTTTTTTACAGAATCAAGTTGTCTGAATGTAAGAATGGCCTCTACGCCTTTTAGAGTTATAATGTGTTCATTCTACTGCCTTCTCAAAGGATTTGCAAAAGGCTATAAAGATACATACACACCAGCTGTTAAACTCAGCACTGATGACTGACACCAGTCTCTTAATGCAATTGTCAGGCTTCAATTCTATGAGGAAGGAAAATTAATTCCCTTTCCGATTTTTTTTTTTTAATACCTGCCTTCATTTCTTCGCTGCCCTCCCCCATCTCTCATTTTATTAAGCTGAACTTTACTTTGAGCTATCTGGGACACAAACACATGAATAACATCATACTGCCTGTACCCTACGCATCCTCAACAACAAGCTGTATTTCCTGCTCTGTTCCAGAAAGTCTGCAAACCTAGTGCATTAATTCCACATTCCAAATCTTACCTATACAACTGCAAGAATCAGACAGTGCCTGGTATATATAACTGTCACCTCAACTGGTGACAGCTGAGGTTTACAATCTAGAATTGCATGGCTCAGTGTTCATGTAAACTTATAAGCAAGGTTCTGTTCGTATCAAGTCACTTTCTTGTCATGTTATCTTCATGATGTTACACTGATCTTTCAGACTGAATAAGAATATATATATATATATAGCAAGGAAAAGAATAAGTACTCCAAGTATTTTACTGATGAAACATATTACAGAACATCAGGTTCCCAAACCAATTCACATGAGACACTTTGAAATGGAGCACAGCTATGTAAAGAATGGGAAACTCTCTCCCATGTTACTGGTCAGCAAAAAATCCTTCCCAAACTCTTGAACATTGGGAAGTAACACAGCAATTAAGAAAGCAGTGACCTGAGAGCAAGGGGAGCTGGAAGGATGAGACAGCCTAAAAAGCCAACGAGTGGAGCTATGATTCTTTATTTGGGTTTCCAGAAAATTTCCTAAGGATGGGGGGGGCGGGGAGAGGGGAACCAAAACAACAACAAAAAGCCAAAAAACTCAGGATATTCTTCCCACTTGAGACAAGATTTAAAACTGCTGGTTTTGTTCTCCCCTCACTCCTCTATAATTTATTTCTGTAAAATTCTGTTATTTGTTGTTCCAGTTTGAATATATTCCATCCACCTAAAAAAACAGTTAAGTTCTGAGTTACCAGAAGTACAGGTTTTGAACTCAGAACTTAACTGGCCATCGGGTGGGTGAAACACACTCAAACTGGAACACTAATTAACACAGAAATGTCCCTTTCTGAACCCAGTGAACTCAAAGACTTATTTACAGGGCTCCTAGGGTTTAGATTGTGCCACTTTTACTTAACAAGCACGGATCAAAGGTTGTTAACTTTGGAAGAAGATTTAAGGAAAATAAGTTACCTATTGAGAAGGTAAGAGCTCTTCTTAAGAAAAATCTTTAACTAAATAACTAGGGGGGTTTTGTTTGTTTTATTATTTTTACAACATGAACATTCATAATGTACAATGAAATACCGTGAATATAAATAAAAGCCAGTCAGTCACAAATACACACAAATTACTATGTGCTGCACATCCAGGAGTAGAGTGGAATGATTTGAAAGCAGCAGAAACGCAAGGAGGCCAAGCATACCAGTGTGAGGGCAAAAAGAATGGTGTGACACACCTCACTGCCGCATTTCTGGAAGCATCTCTCTTCCCCTCTCACCTCCCGTGACACTATCAGCAGATACTCTGAGTGCTGCGCCCGGCCACAGCCGTACTGGGAACCTATACTGACAAGCTGGAATAACCAATCAGAGCAGAACACAAAAACAAACCTTGTAAAGCTGGAGCACATATTGTTATCCAAATCGTACAACAAACAGAAGAGCTCAAACGTTCAGGTAACAGTCACTCACCACTAGACCAGGCTGCTATCCAGCCTCAGCTCTCACTCCCACACGCTTGAACCCTACGGAGGCAGCCACAAAGCCCTCTGTAATCTCAAGGGAAGGTAAGAGCAACTGACAGCAAGCCAGGAAACTCCCCACACCGCTGGGGTGTAGCCAGCTATGCTGAAAAACATGAAGTTTGGTGCACTGTGACAGGGAGTGTTATTTTCTGTCGCACTTGCCCAGTGCAGAAGGAAACGTGGATGTGGCTGGAAGGTGTTGTGCAGAGGAATACACCAAGCCTGGGCATGAAAGAGCTTCCTCTTGTTCCAGATATTGATAAACAAAACATAGCTAAGGAAACACATGAAGTCAACTAGAGGAGAAAAAGCTGAGTGCTCTAAATCAATTTTAGAAGGAGTGATTTACAGAAAATCCAAGAAAATAACCGGAGTGGAAAAAAATTGTCTCTCAATTTTCTCAACTGTCTCAATCAGCACAAAGAACTCTGTTCACACTTGCCAAACATCTAATACTTCAGAAGTTCAGAACAACCTCAGCTAAATTTCGACTTGTAATTACAAAAAATACTTTAATAATCCGTGGCAATTCCTAGCTCATTTAAATTAAAGCATAGCCTGTCGGTGTGCTCGAGAAAGATCAGAGCTTTAATTTAAGGGTGAAGAACTAGACAACAACTGCCTATTCTGAGTAAACCAGAGATTACTACTGATGAGAAGGCTCCTGAACAGTGAATTTATTTTTACCCTGCCAGTTATGTGAATAATTTTGAAGGCAGCAGCTAAATACCATTGTCCTCATACAGAGAACATATTTAAGACAGCACTATGGTGACAAACTCAGGTTAGAGTAATCATTAAAATTTACATGACTGACACACCACTGCTGTCTAAAGCCTTTGTATGTACCAATTTTGTACAGCCCAAAGTTTCTCATTAAGCAGTATTGCCAAAATATTGTTTTCTCTGATTGCCTGAAGCGGTAACAATTGAAGCTAAAAATCATCCACAAAATAACCCACTGAAATCACAAAAGTGGGGCAGTATAACTATTGGCAGTAGGTTTTGGACTGGGAGTGATATATAACTGCAGCATTCTAGCAGTGCTTTTACTCTTTCATTCTTTGGAAAAGTGCACCAGTACATCCGCTAAGTGCACCAGAAGTTTAACACCTTCCACTCCAATTTACCATATCCAACCGCATTTTACAAGAAGATTTTGAAATGTTAAGGGGAAAGAAATACCTTTGATCAAAACCATGCTCGAACATGCTATAAGGGGCACAGAGCACAATGAATATTACTGCTCTGCAAAAGCTGATGATTTCTATCCTGCCATTGATAATATGTACAAAGCCTGGTAGGTGCCACCCCAAAGACTGCTTCTGCAGGAAGCATGCTGCTGAGCAACACAGGTTTAGAAAAGACAAAAAAAGTACAGAAATGCTACAGTGTTCTCAAATTTTAGCAATAACACTGTTTAGATTATACAGAATTTTCTAATCATGTTTCAAGTGAACGATGTCTGCTAAAAGCAGGTCTGCAATACAATCAAAGGAGAGAATGCCCAGTGTGAGGTAATGAGAAGCTGTGTGTTATGAAATCATACAACTGTTGTGTTCATCTGCTTCAAACTATGTGTCCAAGAGAGCAACAAGGGGGAGGGAGGAAGGAGGGAGAAAGCTGGATGAAACAAGGACATAACGTTCAAGAAAACCACTGGAATTTTCCCATTCTAAAAGAGATTCTAAATTCTAAAAGAGATTATAATAGTTCTTTCAGCAGTTGCACTGTCAGTGCAGTATTACTCCCAAATACAATATCCCCAAAGAACACAAAGCTTTAAGACAGGAAAAAGCCACAGTATCATTTAATCTGTTAAAAAGTAAAGAATCTCGATTTTTAATGAAAGCTAGTTTCTCATGACAAAGAAGGAATGTCAAAAAAACTTTGTCAAAAAACAGTCGTGCATTAAGTGAGGGCTTTTCTCAGGGACTTAAACAACATTCAGCTCGTGGCTTGCCAAACAGGCCTGGTAACACCTGAGCCGGAGAACAGACGCTGAAGAAGCTTTCTCTGTGCTGGCTGAGTTTATTTGATTATGGCTGTCTCCATGACACCAGCACCTAACACACTTCATCAAATATAAACAAAACGTTTTCTGTTACCTTTGTGTGCCATACTTTTAAAAAATGTTTCTTTGTTGTATTATTAGAGTGAGACTGCACAGGATAAGAGGCTTGTGCTTATTCCAATCTCTCCTACAATTGGCACCAGACACTGAAAAAGATGCTGGTGTCTCACTCCAGAGTTAACGGATTCTTTGCTCCAATGCAGCAATTCTGGCAGGTGAGGAACATGAAGGATGAAGAGACCACGTAGTTAGTTTCTTACTTACAGAGATTAGCAAAGATAACAGAAAGATGATCTTGCAATTTTATAATGTATTCTTAAATGTACACACAAAGCTATTTTTATGCAGTGCAAAGAACAAAAACGTTCACGTAGCTCACACCTATCCAGCTTCACATCCACACTGGTTAAACTCAGCCTCCTATGACTGTCAGTCCTTTATCTGAAGAACCACTGTTTACAAATATAGAATCTTAACTTAGCCATGTATCTTCATCTATCCAATTTCTGAAAATGACTGCACTTAAAAAGATGCATAGAATTTACTTTATACTCCTCTTTCACATAACCGAATTTTTAGAAGGCTTTATAATTATATCCCATTTGGTTTTTTTACCTGTTCAAATTTCCAGCCATCGGACATTGTGGAAACCATTTGAGTGAGTTCCTCTTCCTGGCACTGCAGCACCCTGTACACATGTTTGACTGGCACCTTCAAGAAGAAATACAAGATTCTGAATACAGCACGGAATTCACTACGTTTGTGACTTGTCTGAAGTTGCCCTTATTCTTTCGGAATAGTAAGCAACACCACCATTAACATCTTGCCTTTTTTTTTTCTTTAAAGAAGTCTCATCTGTTCAGAATCACCTTGTAGAAGACTCAATGCTTCATGGATGTTTCAGGGACTAGAAGTGCTACTTAACAGTTATAACAAAACAGTCTTAAGATTTTCCTATCTTTCCATGTGGCAGCAAACCACATCATTCCAAATCAAAGCTGAGGTTCTGCAGAGGCCTCCCGAACTTTAAGGAATGTCTGACCATATGCAAAAAATGTCTTTATTTCCCTGTCAAAGTTTCCAATCCACAGCAATTAATAACTAGAACCATTATACCTGAAAGCCTTTGGAAAATGCTATCAGACCAACTCTGCTATCCCGCAACCCAGCTTCAAGAAAAATCTGTCCACACGAGTTTGTAATATACCCATGAAGACTCAGTTATCAGGGAAGGACAGGGTAGCAGAGTTAAAGAACAAACTTGAATACCTTCTTTACTCAACAGTTTCTCTATCATATATGCACTTTCATGGAGAAATATTCATGAAGTGCTATGAGAGGAGGCAGAGTCCTCTCTGCTACAGAGCACTACAAATAAACCGACTTTGCTACAAAGGCGTCCGACAGGAGCTAAGCAGCACCCGTATGTACGCTGTACAAACATACCCTACGAACAGCAGTTACACTATCGTTAGGCAACCTCATCGTATTCAGAGTATTTAAACATATATGAGAAAAGTACATTCTACAAAAGCTGTTTTCTAAAATAACTATTTCCAGAAGTGGTATTATGAGAAATTCTGCTATTACCAGGCATTTCTGAACAATTCTTTAGAATGTTTTCAGTTTTTGAACAAGAACTGGAACCATATGCCAGCGCCCTTTGTAAGCAGACCGGCAGATACTGGTGGTTGAGAACACTCATCTCTGCGTACTCATGGTTCCAGCTCGGCCAGCGACGGAGGCAGCCATTCTGCATCTCACTGGGGAAATGAGCAGCTACAGAAAATAAAAAATAGAACCCACCCGCTACGTGCCACAGAACAAGTAATCAAAAACACAGCGGAAAACAACCTCACCTGTGAGATTTTGCTGTCTCTTTCTCTTATTTTGTCCTTTACCAGCTTTATTAGTGATGTGATATTGTAGAATTCAGCCTCTTCCAATACACCTAGTATGAGAACAGTTTTTGGAAAGAAAGCGTAACCAAAGATTCCAGGCCAAAACCACCAAGCAGTTCCTAAGATTATCTTCTCTACAGCTATAGAAAATTATTTATTTTGCCCCACAAAAAGTTCATTTACCAACCTAATGATTCTGGCTTCCTTTGGCATGTGTCATTCAAAGTTTAGCTCATTCTGAAAAACTGTCCTAAAAAACACCTGATGAAAACTGATGCCATTTCATATACAGAATGAGAGGCAAGACACAAAAAAAAAAAAAAAAAGGAGCACAAATGCCATTCCATAGCAGACTTACGGACGACCATCGCTCAGGCCCCACCTCAAGCTGGAATACGAAAGAGAAATTCAAACAGTCCTACCAAAAAGCTCTGCAGCTGCTAGCATGCAGAAAAATTGTCTTCCTGTCATTGGAGATCTTAGACCCTAAAACAAAAGCTTAAAGATACATACCACAGACTGCTTCCATCCACACGTTCAAGCCTTACCTGTTCTCCACACATACGATGCGTTTAACAGCGCACACAGAAATTAATTTTCACATTATTTCCTGCTAATATTGTTAGACTGTATGTCTCTTTGATCTATTTCTTCAATACCTTATCAATGCAGTTTGAGTACTCTGTGGTTTAAAACAGTCATCCTCTATTACGGTAAAACTGATATGAACTGGGGACAGGGAGGGAGAAGCTGGGGGCAGGATTTATTCTTCAAGACCATATTCCACACATCTGAACATCCCCGAACTTCACTCTTACTTCTCTTTATGTTTTCTAAAGCTTGCTTCACAGCCAGTATTCTTTTGCTTGAAGAGCACTAAACCCAAATATTTCACACAGTCATATAGGAAAGACACAAGACTACAGGATAAAAGGCATCTCCCCTCATGTCTGAATATTTGTGTTCCAAGTGGGGACAGGGGTTGTTAAATCAGGAGTTACACTCAGAACACTCGAGCACCAGCATGGACTGTAACTGTATGATACTCATCAGCTTCGCCTGAAACCGTCAAAAATGCTACACCTGTTAAGATTTAATGTCTACTTGTAAGTTACTTCTGGTGATTCAAGAGCAGTGAAATGATAAGCAAGCGATAAGAAATCAAGAGATTCAGTAACATCTTACCTTCCTCAGCTAGGTCCTTGTTAATAACCAGTTTCCCGTGTCTGAGATAGTTCAGCACTGGCCCAAAGTAGGTCGGGTCTCTGTCTATTAAATAGGCACCTGTTTCATCCTAGATTAGGAAAACAAACAAACAAACAAAACAAAACAAAACACACAAAAAAAACAAAACAAAAACCCCAAAACACCACAAAAAACCACAAACAAACAAACAAACAAAAGCCAAAAAACCCACAATGATTTGAACATTCAATCAGGAATTGCAAGCTAATATTCATCTTGGCATCTGAATAGCAAGCAGGTATTCAGACATAGCCACATCCCTCAAAGCCAATTTATTAAAGACATTAAAAGGAATTCAGCAGTGCGGTTGTAATTGCATCAGACTGAGCACTCAACTCAGTCACGTAGCACACAACTTCTCTTACATGATCCCCCCAGCCCCCTATCAAGAGATTGACACTGTTAGCATGAAAGAGCTGAGCAGTGAGAACACTGAAAACTGAGGCTGAAAATAACACTTAAGACCAGGAAACCATCATTTCGCCTGGAAACCTGAAGAATCAAAGCAAAGGCTACATTCCAGTGAGGTTCAGATACCAGCTGTTTGCCTTGGTTTTTTTTTTTTTTTTTACATTAAAGACAAACAAACTTATCTTCTTTTTAACTTCAACACTTTGCTCAAAAAACTTCTGGTTTTGCCTTAGCTCAGCTGTGCTAGTGCTCACATGGTACTGAGAATAGCTGTGTGCCCAGCAAGGGCTGTACCTGCATCTTCTAAAAAAAAAGTTTCCTGAAGATGCAGTTCCTACCTACCTTGTGCAGACAAAGAAGAAGAGAGCACAGCATTTTGTGGAATGCAAAACACAGTTCAATACATTTTCCTGCCTAGCTGATATTCCTGGCAAAGAGATAAAGGAGCAAAAGTGATATTTCCCACATAATTCAGAGTGTATGCGTGAACACCTGTGACCGATGCAGCGCTGACATACTTTGTGCTGGCCAGAGGTCTAAGGAAGATTGGTAAGACGGATGTCTAACAGATCCACTGCTCCTTTCTACTATGAAGTGGATCACTGACAGTATTAATCCTTTAATACCTAAAGTTTTGGTGCAATAGAAATCCTACACATATATAATGGAAAGATGTGGCATTACCCCAAATACTTTTTTTTCTTATTTCTAATATTCTACTAGTTTACAGGAGCTACTAGAACGGGATCACTACCAACAATCCTAGCTAAATTTGAATTATTCTCCCCAAAACCTACATGTGATAGTGATACCTGTTGTTCCATATTAAAAAAATGTTACTGACCCAACCCTTTGCGTTCGGACTTAACACTGACATGCAAAGGTTTGATTACTGAATTTGATACCTGAAAACTCTCTCTACTTAACAGTATCTAAAGTTCTTAAAATGTTTCATTCGAAGAAAGATGGTGGATGTATTTTCAGGTACATGGATTTAATTTCTGAATAATTGTGTTTGTCTAACCAGAGCTGGTGGAATGTAGAAAGATCACAGCTTGAACTACAAAACCCATAAACACCTTTCTGTAACTACAAGATAAATGCTTTACACACTTAGACACACTGTCATTTTAAAAAAAAGTGACGGTGTGTTATACTTGATATAAAATTAACTGTTAGAGAAAATGTCAGTCTATTAAAATGTGGTGGCAGTTAACCTACACTCAGAGCAGACAGTGCTCGATAAAGTCTAATCACCATTTCTTCTGACCTAAACTCATGGGCTCTCAGAAGAGAGACTATGGATGAAAACCAGCAGACAGAGGAAGTGCATAAAATGGTATATTTTAACTGTTTCACATTTAAATATATTTATATTACCAAGACACTTCAAGAACAATCAATCTACAGATACAACCCAAAGAAATTACATTAGCTCACAACTGTACAAATTATAAGCTGAAAAGTATTATTTCCTACAGGAACAGAACAGTGAACTTGGAAACGAAGATCTAAAACTGATAAAAAGAAACACAAAGAAAAAAAGCACAGTCTTTGGTCATCGGTTGAACCGAATTAAGAAACTAAGGGCTTACAAAACAGGAAGTCGTCCCAGCTACGGGAAATAAGTCTCTAGAAACAAGCTACAAGCTACTACAAGACGGTAGTGTTATTTTACACGACAGTGTTTTCCCACATCATCCTCGAAAGCAAGAGTGGCCACCAGCTCCGCACCCTGACAGAGACACGTGGGTCACAGAAGCAAAGGAACTAAAAGCTCTCGATGGAATCTCAAATAACAACCGCTCCTTCACTCCTTGAACAAAGGGGCTCAAAAATATATACTTTTTTTTTTTTTTTTTACAGACTGCGGTATCTGAAATCACTCTTACCCAAGTCCATTGCTGTACACTGAACAAGCTTCCACCAAAGAGAGAAGGGAAGAAGCTAGGTCAGGGCTTCTCTCACAACACCCACCTAACGAGAGAGCACAAGCCACCTGCGTCACCTGCACCCATCACCCGCACGCCCATCAGAGCTCATCATCAGCACTTGTACCCAACACGCTTTGCACACACTGACAGCATCCCCTCGGCGAAAAATAATAGAAATGCTTCTGTCTTCTACCTGTTTTTAACCATTTTCCTCATCATCCACAAACTTTTTCCATTCTACTGTTTCTCATCTCACTTCTTCTCCTCTTACACTCATTAATTTCCTACCCACTGTCAAGTTTTCTTCCTCACCACATTACCATCTAGAATCTATAAAAATGCTTAACCTTCACACTGATAAATACAAAGATCATACCAAACACATGTATAATATACCACACATGAATAAAGTGCCATCTCACTAGTGTCAAAGTTTATTAACTCTTTCAGGCAACAATGTGTCTTCAAAAACAATTTAAAAAAAAAAAAAGAACCCCAAAAGTCTTACAATTTATGGTGTAATAGTAACTTTTTTTCTTTTTTTTACACCAGTAAATGTCAACAGTTAAAGTTTAAGAACTCTGGCTAAATCCTGTCAGTGAGCAATCCAAATTCTGTCAACAGGATTCACCTTAGTATGTAAATTCCATTATGAACAGACTGGCTGGCCACTTGCCTACCCAGATCACAGATATGGAAAACATGCATTAATTAACATTCTTCCCAAGAGAAAGATGTGTGTCTTGGACTTTGACCCTACCGAGGAGACCTAACAGCAGCTTCCAGTACCTGAAGGGGGCAACAGGAGAGATGGGGAAACACTCTGGATCAGGGGTGGAGGGACAGGACGACGGGGAACGGTTTGAAGCTGGAAGAGGGGAGATGGAGATGAGATGTGAGGAAGAAATGTTTTCCTGTGCGGGGGGTGAGGCAGTGGCCCAGGGTGCCCAGAGAAGCTGTGGATGCCCCATCCCTGGAGGGGCTCAAGGCCAGGCTGGATGAGGCTTTGGGCAACCTGGGCTAGTGGGAGGGGTCCCTGCCCATGGCAGGGGGTGGCACTGGGTGGGCTCTAAGGTCCCTTCCCACCCAAACCCTTCTGGGAGTCTATGATTCTGTAACTCAGGTATGCTACAGTCTACTGCCAGGGGGTCAAGACCCGAAATGTCAGCTATTCACTAAAGAATACTGTCATAATAAGCAAAGAATGCAGAGGAACAAGAGGCACAAATCTGACTTCCCAGTCACCTTCCAGGAAGTGCCTCCTCACTCCTCCTGCAGAGCAAGCTGCCCGATTATCCTCCCGTGTACACTAAGCACTTCCCGTCAAAATCACTAAAAGCTGATTACACCAGATCTTTAAGGATATTTATGTAAACATAAATCCAAATAAAAGCTGACACAGTGACACAATCATCTGCTCCACCTGGAACTCTCGAATACGTTGCACAAGTCTTTCCACCCTTTCCACGGTGTGAAGGAAGCCAACCGTCAGGACTGGCTTCGTCCTCATGTACATTAAAACACATTGTACTCTCACGTGTAACTAGCATTTT